CCCGATTCCAGCCCGAGCAGAGTGTCATCTGCTGTCTTGGCTTCACCCACACCGCCGACAGCCGGCGGTAGAATCGGAGAGGAATTGTTGTTCACCTCACCGCTAACTTCTACGTACTCACCACCTTCTTCGTCCGCATTGGTCAACGTCGAACTTTGTCGTGCGGTCATATTTTCCGGATCAGCCCCGTCACTACCTCCATTAGCCTCCTCCTCCTCTTCTTCATCATCCTCGTCATCATCATCGTCGTTCTCATCCTCTTCATCATCCTCGTCCTCATCATTCGCCTGATCGCAGGCACGAAGCCACTCAGGATCCACAACCGGACGTGGACTCATAGCTGACATACCGTATTGGTTCAGGGACAAATTAGCTTCAGAAACGGAATCCGGTCGAGGTTTGGACGTGCAGAACACATCTCGCACATCCGCATCGGACCGGGCCAACAAAGCGGCACTAGCGACACCGCCCACACTGGCTGTTCGATTGTGACCGGGGCGACAAAGTGTCTGAAATTGTGCTTCATCCTGCCAATAGAAAAGAATAGAGATTTTGGTTATCAAAGAAATTCAACAGTGACTGCCATATTATTGAGTTTCAGTTTTCAATTTATACAACCATTAACCATGCACTTTCGTGCGCCAGTTCTGGTTGCTGTCCTTTTGGTTCCCCATTGGGATGAAGCAGTAGGACAAAGGCAGGAAAGGTGGAAGTAGTGTCGAAGAGAAAACGGAGAATTTAAGCGGACTAAGGTTGCAAGGAAATAGAGAACATGCACTAACGCCATTGTTCACGGCTTTCAGGTATATCATTCAGGTTTTCCAACCACCGGTTACCATGACCTTAGGGTCCAGCCAGAGAGCCTAACGCTACCTATGCGACCGAGTTTTCTGACTACGGTTTTCATATCCCTCTTATTAGATATTATTTTGATCACCATTGGCTTTGTTTCACCCACTACCTGCTTTCGCAAACATAGCGCGCCGTGGCAACACCTATTTGGTGACATGCGAAACACACGCCAAAACCAACGTAATCCATGGAGGTCGGCCATAACACCAACGATAATAAAGTAATAATAATATTGAGAATGAAAGTATTGGCTGAGGGTCCAGTTGATCATACGTAATGAATTCGTCGTGTCAGTGTAGCGCACAATGAAAAGCAGGGAAGCATAAGGCAGCTGTTTCGACTTGATTGGATCTGATCGACAGTGCAAATCTGCCGAGACAACTAAGGATCGAACCTGGGATCTCACAGGTAGAAAGCAAGCATACCAACCGCTCGACGACCGGGCAGCTAATCAGACCGTTTCTCATTTCAACTGTAGGTGATATAGCACAACCCATCTTTCCAAGATTGTTACAGGGGCATCACACCTCGTTATTCTCAGAACTCGTCTTCATTGGAAACTTTCCTAACCTGATTACATATAGTAATAATGATACTTTGCTGTCGATGGTAAAACGAAAATCGTGGGATGCGTGCGGTCTTGGAGTAATCGAACGACAACCGTTTGGATAGGCATAGTTATGCATAAATCTATGTGAATCGTGAGTGAAGTTGAAATCAATGACGTTGACTAGATGTGTAAAGTTCAATTCACAACCAACGGAGCTAATGAACCAAAACCTACCGTAGCTACTGATTGGTATGTAAAAAATGCGCCGTTTTTGCTTTTATTAGTTCAAGCCGCCTGTTACACTGCGCCATATGAAAGGAAATTTAGTCGACCCCTAACAATGGTGCGTTGATCGCGGCCTGAGTTACATACAATTACTGTTCGCCTCACGCTCCGACTTCACTTCCTGAGTGAAAAAAACAAAAGGTCATGGCGAGGATATGGTCGAAAGTCACTTAAAAAGCAACCTCCAGAACTTGTAAAAAATTAAACCGAGATTGCTTGCAAGTCCCAAGAGTGAGATTGTCGATTTTCATAACTGAACAGTGGGACACTGTGATTGCAGGGTTTGATACCTTTACTACTCATCACAACGTAGTATGTAATGAAAATGCAATACCATATCAACTTCAAGTCTTGGTCGTCAAACGCCAGTTAAAAGACTGGGTTTATCAATATACTGGCTCCTTTTCTAAATGAACTGGTTTCACTCTAAGACAAACAAAAGTGCCTTTGATGATTTGATGTGTGAGGATGAATAGGCGGGAGTTTGACTGTTGGCGCATCCGGAGAAGGCGAAGAAGTCAAACGTCGATTATATGAACTTTTGGCGGGGATACACGAACCCGATGGCAATGAACGTCCTTAGGGTGGAAAACAGTCGCAACAAGATGGATCAGTAAGCTCAACATTATGATCACGTGTAAAAGTAGACACTCAATGTCGATAAATGTGCAATGTTCCCTTCAGCCTTGACGCAGGCACTCATTACCGAACCCTTGTGAGTAACCAGCCTGAACTCGTTGTTAATTTTAATATCATCCGCAAAGCTGACTCAGTTAAATATCTTGGAGTTACTTTGTCACATAGCCTTTCTTGGTCTAAGGAGTTTAGAAACATTCACATTAGGGTTCGTTGATTATCCTTCTACGCTTTTAGGCTTAACAAGCTCCTAACAGCTTCCCTTAAATGTATTTCTTAAATTTGTGACTGTCTGTATTCTTCTCTACTGTTTGTACCGTTCCCTGGTATTTTTTCCTGGTCTAAAGGAGAAAGCTTTTAATCTCCTTACCAGATCTCTTGAATTTCTTTCCGGTTGCAATGGCCTTTCCAAGACCGTTTTGGTTTTTTCATTGCATGTAACCATTTTGATTCATGTGATAGCCTTATCAGCCATGTACTGTCAGATGAAGAACACTGCCTGTATGTCCATCTCAGTAAATCTGTGGCTCATCCGAGTACGCGTTCCAAATTCAGGATTCTTTGTGCACGTACCACCCATACCGAAACAGTATTACCCCTTATTGTGCTTGTATCTTAGTAAACCGAGCAAATATCATAAAGGACTTGGAAAACCACCTGTCTCAGCAAGATTTTATCACATCCATTTGTTTTGCATTTACTAAACGTTTAACTTTGTCAATGCTTAACATCTTCTTGGCTGTAACTTGTCGAAAGTGCTGAAAATCCACCCTACTGGGTGCATAAAGCTTAACTAGACTAGACTAACTAATTTGCAATGAAACAATGGATGCATTTCAGTCTAAGCGATATCTAGATCGAGGGGTGGCCCCGGGCATCAACGTAGAAATAAATGATACACACACAGACACGGGTCCAATTCCAGATAAATCAAATTAATACATGGAAGTCGGAAAGTTGTAATTTGGCAGAGGTAAATCGTCCATGTCAAGCAAAAGCTGCAACATGAAGAAACTAAATAACCAACTGTTCGAAGAGTGAGAGCAAAGATACGCAACAGGGGTAGTCGAGGAAATGAGTTATACGTATCACCCCTTTAGGGAGTAATTAGCATTGAATCGAACTGTTGTGCCGACCTCAGATCGAACTTGTTTGTTCCACTTCGGGGAACATGAAAGAGGCGCCCATCTATCTAGAGTAAGAATAGCTAATGAGGTAATGTAATAGAGAAAAGTGGATGAGGAAAATACCTGTAATCATGGTTTGGGCTGGAACAGGCGAGTAGAACGTATAAACACGAATATAAATTAAACGAACGTCCCCGAATGCCATGGTGATGTACCACAAATCCACGGAGACTGCAAAAAAGTCATGAGATAATCGCACTCCGGATGAAGGTTTCAAAGTGCTAGGCTAGATTGTTTGCATTCTCTACCCTTAACTGTTTGCTGCAATAAGCTGTCCGATCTCTCCTCGTTCGTTGACGAAACGTTTCAACAGACAGATACAGAGAAGTGACCTCCGGTTTGCACCACCAAGCTAACAATTTATACAAAGCCAGTACTATCGAGTAAAGTGAATAGGAATTGAGCTTGCTTCGCGGGGAAGGAGTGGACGTCCACAATCAGCAAACGAAGAACAGTCAAACTGCGCATATACATTTGTTCAAACATTCTAATCTGATAAAAAATGACAACAAGAACAATACTTTTATCGACTCGATGTCATGCTCTTCAGTGTTTGTGATTACACCTGTTGCAGTCTCTGGGAGCATTGCCTGGAAAATGAGATACACTTGCTCTACTGAATCTCTCCATGTAACTCTTTACATGGTTTTCACACTACCTATAGACCTATAGGAACTTTTTTCCAAATGCAGGACAGCTTAGTTGGCGTTGCTAATCTGATCGATTCATCCTGCCCGTGTCAAACTACGTAAAAAACGATGAGAAACTTGTAATCAATGGATATCATCTATCCGTAAGGTAGTTTGTCATCTTCTGCTCTTACCTTTCGTGACCTTTATTTTATTTCATACCTAAGTGTGATGAACAGCTAACGGAGTGAACCCCATAGTCACGAGGACCTGCTGTTCCGTGGTGGAAACCGAAAACCTAAGCCTCGGGGCTTGAAGTGGTGAACCACATAAGGCTCCGATAGGTTAGGCGTGGTATTGAACCGGACGACAGCAGAGCTGTCTTCCACCAACATCGGGTGGTGGTGGCAGGGCTCGAACCTCGGACCATAGGGTCCAAAGAACGCCGGCGACAGCGACTAAACCACTGCGCCACCACCACAATCGTGTTCAACGGGAGGCCATCCATCTGATCAATATCCCTTTTTGNTTTTTGCAATCCCCCATCTGCATTGACAAGCTCATCACCACTAGTTCTTCTGTACTGTTATCATTTTCATGTTTGTTCTTCAAAGTTTGTTCCGGCAGTAGTTTTCTTCTTCTGACGTTCATCCGCCGTCCACCCCAGTCTCGCACAAAGCAGGTAGCCATCCTTATCCACTAGATACCATGCATTTCTCTTTTCGTTTTCAACCAAACGATGGAACAAAATTGCATTCTCTATCTTTCCATCTACTGATAATCATTCACTCCTCAACGTAGTATCCATAAACTGGTTCTTGCGAGAATATACCCAGACACCCCTGTAAAGTGCGTTCTGTGATTATGGTGTTTAATCCTAAGGATATACTTCATTTAACATACAATGAAGGAACTGGCAAACGTAAGGTCTCGCAACTGTGAAGTATAACTGATCACACTGTGGCACAACAGGCACGATCTTTGGATGAAACGCCACATTGACACGAAAGATGTTTCCGTTCGCCGTCCGATATATCTTCACAACCCAACCGTCACGAGTCACATAATCACATAGATAAGAGAGATAATCAGCTATTGTCAAGTCCTAATCACTGAGCTTCCGAACACGGATGGTCGATAACCAGTCGTGCAATATAACTTGGAATTTTGACGGTTCAAACCTATGCCGAAAGGGGCAACAGTATTTGTAAGTCTGTTTAATTGACTTTGCGCATCAGGCATAGGGATAAACGATTCCGTTGGTGTGTATTCCAGACTGTGCAGCTTTTCTCGTGCTGCCCATCTAAAACCAACATTTTGGAGACCACGTCCGACGTTGTCAAATAGTTGATGTGCCACGAAATTAAACGGTAACAGTACCCAAGCCGTTGAGTAGCTTTGAGGAGGGTGCGTGCCTGATCGACTTAATGCTAACCTGGAGAAAGTAACTGTTCATCCAATTATTTATAATTTTTATTCTTGAGTTTGGTTCATGACAAACCAGTCAGTTAATTAGTCAAAATAGGCAGTTTTTGTTAGTTCTACTTTTGAGACAGAATCTGTTCATTAAGACCTAGAAAAATCATAGTGATCGATCCATAAACTCATTGCCTCCAACATTCTCCTCCTGGCTCAGAGCAGTCTGCCAACAAAGACATTCTTTTCAATTCAAAGGCTTCCACAATAATGGATCATGTTTCCAGATGTAAACACAGTTTGGTGAGACACTACCCGCCCTTGTCATACAGTGAGTAAGTCGAAACATATCGGTAATTAGTAATGGGTTGACTGAAATACCGGTGAGATAGCCCCATCACCTCGAAGATCACACACACACACACACACACACACACACACACGTGTGTGTGTGCGTTCGCTTACCGATACCGGTATACAAACACATACATGCATACACACAAGCCGCGAACATTCAGTCTAATCGGACTGCCTAGTACAAGCACTTACACACACACTGAGAGACGTTTCACTTCTTGGTCGAATCAGAGATCCGATAAAAATGATCCCAACATCAAATAAAATCATTTTTGTTTTCGAAAGCGGACAGAGGGCTACCCTGATTGACCGCACATGAAAGCTGATGCAAAACTAAGCACACTCTACTCCAATATCAACCTTTCAACGTGCAAACATAAACCCAGTGATCGTCTCCCGACTGCGTCGGGACAGACCTGTTTGGTTGACCATATGGGGGATAGTGGGGTGTACACTGATGTCGAGTGCTTCGCACACAGTTTCTAGGTGGATCGTTTATCATATCCAATAAATACAGCAACAACAATGCATCTCAGCGATGGTGAATAAGGCGACGAAAACAGACCCAATTTGAACTCGCGTGTGTATCTATGTAGTAGACTCTTTCCCAATTAGCGTGAGAAGCGATACCACAGCAGATCGACGAGTCAATGTTTCATTCTGTTTAAGGTATTACACGAAAAATCATGATACACGCACGAGGTTGACGGTGGTTGTTATCTGTGTTTAGTGACCACGATGGTAACACTGTCACCTATTCCCATCACAGACACTACTGTACCCAATTGACTTACGATTTCATCTGTCGAGGATTGATAGATTGGACGACTGAAGTTCAGCTTGCGCAGCAGAACATAAAGTCTAGTAACGGTATCGAACATTGCTGGAGGCAATCTATCTGATCGTAGTCAAGCGAAACAGTCTGGTGGTGGAAGACCGCATGTTCTTGCATTCTTGATCGTGATAACATTCCGAAAAAAAATTTGATTTTATCCAGTTGTGTGCATTTGATCACGCCCTTCTGTAGTACATCATTCGTATCATTATTATGAACTATTAGATCTCCAGGTTAGAATCCCAATGGATTCGGTGGTTGTTCTTTGCTGATACTGCCTAAGAAACCGGGTTAAACAGATGCACAGCACTTCTCAGGCTTTGTAAATGATGAATGAGACGTTGAATTTGTATGACGAATAATAATTATATATATATATATATATCCCACAGAGCACATTTCAAACAAAACCATCTAATCAACGGGTGATGCAGACAGCTGGAAACGACAATTTATTGTTACACTCGATTTCCAAATTAATTTTTTTGGTGGAGGAGGAGGACCGACAGAAGGGATACATTGCCAGATGAACAGATAGACCCACAGACAAACACATCGACAGATGAGGTCTGATTCGTTCACTTGCAAAACGGATAGCAAAAGATGGAAATTATTTAGCTTACAAGCTAAAGAACAACGCTGTTAGTTTTTTTTTTACGTTCCCAGGATAATATCACTATCTTATCACACGGTGGGAAGCAATTAGTTTCGCGATATAAGACTGCCGTTTATTCACCGTATTCGATTAGGATAAACTGTTCAGGTGTCGTCTTCAGATGCAAAGCTTAATTGAACACTAGACAAATTGGTACAACGAAACCAGTCGCTGACCAAATACACTGGCTGCACTAGACTGCATTTTTTTCATGAAAAAAAAACGCGCGAACAGCCTTCAACTGTCCTTTCAAGGGAAATATTTGCAGCGCGACAGACGATCAGAGAGGATTTTGGCTCGCCTTTTGTTCAGTAACACAAATGGGCACGTATGTGGCATTCGAAAGCATTGGATATAGATGATAACACGTATATCAACTAACTGGTTAACTGGCATGACGGTCAGCTAACAAAATCTCATTGTTCTTATAGAGCTGGGGGAATCGATGGGCACACACGTGATCACAATTGCGTAGACAATAAGTGAATGGTGAAGTAAAGCCGGTGCACAGGTGCGTGTGTGCGTACACATCGACAATGCGGTGGTCGCAACAGTAAACTTGGAAAACTAAGACGTTGCAACTTCAGTGTGCATCAGCAGAAACTGAGTATCATTGGTGACACAGAAGGACCAATCTATTGGGGATGTCTTAGTGACCTTCTGAATGAAAATTACCACTAGAATACTATCCGCCCAAGAAAAATACAGAAAATCGGCCAATGACAGCGCATAAAAAATTTTGAAAAATCCAACCGCATTCTCTATTTAGTTAAACCCGAATGCACCTCAGCCTACTCCGCATCCAAACGTGTGTCTTATTGGCCAGCGGGCCTCAGACAGACTTAGGGAATGTTATCAAAATGTATTTGAGCACCTTTTTATTACACACGTTACTGTGATAAACAGAAGGGATAAACACCATGGTCACGAAAAACTGTTGTTCGGTAATGGAAAACGAGCGATTCGAGTCCTGTTTGGCACACTGTCTGGCCTTAGACGCGTGTAAAGTATAAATAAATATAGAATTCCTGGGAGTTGCAGAAGTAAAATAACTAAGACAGGGTTTTGAGCCGGATAACAGAGAAACTGCTCACATCCAAAGTGACTGGTGGTGAAAGGACTCAAACCGGAGACGTTATAATCCGAAGCACCTCACGGGCAAGGAGGTGAACCGTTTCATCATTATCTTAAACGCACATTCTTTTGTGATCATCGTAGAATACAGTGAAAACGGTTCACGGGTAAGTACTTAAATGTTGTTGGCCGTGATATTTCATCACATCAATTACTGAGCACATAAGAAAAATAAACTATTGTGAAAAGGCTAGCTGGTTCACAACTAGGGTCATGTTAGCACAAGTACGCCCTTTGCAAATCTCAATTGTGCGTTAGAAACCCGTTAGACCCAGAGAAAAGAGTACGGGATGGGACATAACTCGATTTAGAGCGTAGCTGGGTAAACATGTTTTTCATTTGTGAGAAATGTACTATTCGTGATACGCGCTTATCAATGTAGGGAATTTTAAGGGCATTGCACCATAAGATTACATACAGTAGAACGAACTGAATCGGTATACCATTGCTGTAGATCTTCATACAACAACACCATCTCCATTCTTGGATAGTAAAATTCAGTCTGGAAACAAACGGAAACCAAATGAAATTCAACAACATATAGATTTTGATGTGGAAAGGTTTCCTCACCAGAAAGGGTTGTTCGCTACCCTAGATAGCTTAAACGATGATGGGACAATGATTTGCAGATGTCACTCTCGAAGTGCAGGAGAAATGATATTGTATAGTTAGGTTCATTCAGGAGCACATGATCTTAGAGGAAGAAATAATGTAATAGTCATATGACAATGTTATTTGGGTAATTATATTCCGTCAAAAGAATAAAATTGAAGCGAAGTTTTCCCTCATATACCCGCAGATTCAAGCTGACTTCGGTACCCACTTGGGGTGATAGGCAGCTTTACTGTAGCCCGGTTCGGTACCACGCTTATTCTATTAGACCGAAGAACATCAGGTCTTAAGAACTACGCAGTACACCAATCTAAAGAACATACCAAAAGCCCGTTTGGTATTTTCTAATCCGAATGAACTTTGGTTCGGGTACCGGAAATCAAGCGTATGTTGCGCCAATTCAATGCATGCTACCCAAAGTTCGAAACCAATTGTGTACTTTTTTAGGTCTTATTGGACATAGTCAATGGGGAGCTGAGAAATCGTACACCCTTTCATGAACAGAACCTAAGGTGCTTGCCCAGCCAGAAAAATGACCTTGATTTTTATGATCATACATACGTGCTGAGTTGTCAAACCTTGAGAAATCGTAAACTTGACATGGTTTCATTATCTGCGCACGTATACATTAACAAATACTCACTGAATCCATCGTCTGAAAATTTCGATTGGCCACCATGCGGGTGGATATCGCGGACAGTGGGTGGCCCGATTCCGCACACATCGAGGCTGTGCTATGTACTGAAGTGAGACTAGACTTGCGGCTTGCCTGTAATCCCAACCCGGGGTGGTCGACCCCGGTGGACGGCCGTTGTCCAGAAGAGAAATGTCCGGGCGATGCTGGGTTTGCAGAGGACGGGTTAAAGTAGCCGTAGCCAACATTGCTACCTCCACTACTACTGTGCGAACTAACTCCGCCGATAGACAGACTTGCTGGATCGCATACGGAATGACATCGACCGGAGATATGATTCACATGCAAGTGAGCATTGTTCAGACCGGAGGAATGCCCCAGTCCAATCTCCATATTTAACTGGGTGGACGAAGCCAAACTGCAGTTATCCGAAGGGCCGTCACGTCGCATCTCAGGTGCAGCAGCTTCCATGGTTAGTCTACCGGAGTCTGTGTCACTTGATCCAGTTTGGTTCTGCTCGTGATTTGTGCATGATCCGCGGTGGTTGGCTCCATTTTGTCGGCTATTGGCGAACAGTGCAGCTGTTGCCGCAGCGAGTAGACCCCCAGAACTTTGGCCTTCGGAAGGGTAGAATGAGGACCGTGACATACCAGACAGATCTCCTTGTGTAACTTGGAACAGAATGGACTCCGCATCTTCCATCAGCTGATCAGGGTTATTAGCGGCCTTCGATAGCGATTGGATGAGCTCGTCAATTACGGCAATCTCGCTGAGCATGCTGGATTGGCACTCCTGAAAACCGAACAGGTGAACAGGTAATTAGGCAAAGAGCAAGATTTATGAATGAAAACTAAATGCTTATTTGCGAACCCCCCTCCCCACCCAGGAAAAAACGACTGACTGACACAAGGTAATTAGCTTTAAGTGCGTTTACAGGAACTCACGTGTTAGTACGCGAACAACTGCCNTAATACCACCAGTGTTCAATGGCACCTTATTTTGTTCATTGTTTCAAACAGCAGGGCTCTATTCCCCGGTTTCGTAACTTACACGGTATACCCCTGCGGATATAAATCTACCATAAACTTAATTTCAAAATCCCGGAGAAAATAAAGCTCACGTTTCGATAAAAACTAATATGATTTCACCTGTCGATCAAATATGCCCTTCGAACACAAAGAGCTAATTCCTTGGTCTGATAATGAACCATCGGAAAAGAGCATTCGTGAAAAGGATAGATTTGCTTCGCAACACTTATGCAACACGCCAATGATCAAGTTTTGATGAACAGACAGCTACGGATTATGCTCAAACACTGAACTTATGTATTACATATAAACATCATAAAATCCGGGAGAAACTGTCATCCTGAATACTCTAGTTGTTATGATATTCCAAATTTACTAACCATGCACTTCAATGATGTGGCCTTGGTATCCCGATCACAACAACTAGCTATCCAAATCCTTAGAGTGATTGGTCAAGCGAGCATCGGTGGATCTCGATTCTTATGAAATCGTATAGATTAAATGTGTTTATGGTCTCGGCTGAGAAAGTCTTATTTGCTATCATATCAAGGTGGGGATGATTTCAATGAAGTGTACAGATAAAACGCCAACTTCCGGACTGTAAAAATGCTGACGAGCCATTCATAAACAGAGTGTTTGGAAGTAAATAAACCCCTTATGAAGGTGTGCGGTCCAGTCACAACGATTTTGTGTGCTCACCGCTTCGATTCAGAAATCGTGTAATTTTAAGCACTCATCATCCTCGCAATCTTAGTCTATATGAAGTTTATATCTTCTCTTTGCTTCTATTCTCCACATTACAATCTTTTCTTTGCTCTTTTACCTAAATGGGTAGCCTGAAGACAGCAACAAAACGACCGCACTAAGATGCATGGTCAATGGTTGTAAAAACTAAACTGAACTGAACTATGAACGTGGGACCCCCGTTCGAAAGGGATAGAACTTTGTTGGTTGGGAACCGGTCTCGAATGAATTGCAGACTCGAGGATTAGCCCCACAAGCTTTCGGGTTAGACTATTCTGATACCGAGCTCGAAGTGCTCCATTTAAAATAGATTCCGCAAACACTAATAGTTATGCAAAATCCTCGGAAGAGCAGAGCTGTATGTTACTGAGCGCGTCCCAGGGTCGTGGATAGGGGAACGGCCGTCATCTCGCGACTAACCGTGAATAAGGTGGGCCTCGGCCCTCCGAATAAGCCGTAGCGGACGGTCAGCGGCAGCGCTTGAGGATGTGGTGGGTTTGCTCCTGGCAAGGGTTCTCCGCAGAAAACACCACATACATCTGTGGACAGCGTTGTGACGTAGGGAGTGTGGCCCTCCAATAAATATGGCCATTGCCCCTTGTCGAGTTCCTTCGCCCGACAAGGTTTTCCAGAAAAGGCGAATGAACTGAAAACTGGCCACCGGCTCATCTGGAACAGCACAGCGCAGTCCGCGCTTGGTTGCGCAAAGGCTAGAGGGAATCCTCGAACAAGGCCTACTCTGGACTGGACTCTGAGTAGTACAATAGCTCACAACGCAGATAACTATGAACGTTCTCGCTCTGATGATTTCGCCGTCTAAACCTTCAACAATCGAAAGTTTCTACACTGTACACACCCTTTTGTTCTCCCAGCCTCCCCCTACCTCACCTCTATCCTCCCAACTCTATTCCATCTCTCTCGGGTACTTCAGACGATCGTACTAGCAGTAGTGCCTCGGGCGGAAATTCTGCCGCTGTTCGCTCTTGCCCTACCTCGAATGCTGTCCAAGTCTCACTGAAACGTCTACCAGCTGAAGCCCTTCGCCGCCCTCGAAGTCCTTTCAAACTAGCCAGGTTTACTGTGCGTACTCTGATGGGTATAGGACAATAGACGCGTTTAGCTCGTAAGCTCGAAACCCTAGCCATCGATGTGTGTTGTATCTAAGAAACTCGCATTCAAGACTCCAGCTCCATTATCCGATTGACGTCCCCAGCTAACCAATCTGTGAAGTTTTACTTACGCCTCTCTGGGGACCCTGAGGCTGCGGTTTCCGGTCTTGCTGGCGTCGGCGTGGCTCTCAGTTGAAGAGCTGAGGCCGCCCTCTTGGAATGGATCCCAGTAGACAGTAGGTTGTGTGCAGTGAGACTCAGAGGTTCGTGCAAGGTAAGCAGCCGTCGCCACGACCAAACTAGTTTGTCGCATCGGCGTACGCTCCAAAAGACTGCAGCCCAGATGCAGTCAAAGATGAATTTTACCACGATCTACACGACCTCTTGCGTAAAGCGACCCGGGCTGATA